GGAAGGGCAGCTGCACTCTGGCCCCTAGTGATGATAGGACTGTGTAATCAATCACACTTTTCATCCCTTGATCTCAAAGCACTTTACTAAGGCAGGCACATTGCACTACCATGCATTGTATGGAGGGGGAAACTGAGGCACGGAGAGTCCGTGACTTGGCCAAGGTCCCACAGGAAGACTGACAGGATTAGAAACACAGGTCTCAACTCCAATCCCTGACTCCTGCCCCTCACACTAGCCACTAGACCCCACTCCCCTCCCAGAACCCAGGAGTCCTGACTCCCAGTCCCCACTGCTCTAACACACTAGCTTCTCTCACCCATGCCACCTCTGAAATGCAGCCACCTCTAGTTTAGAGAGCAGCACCATCACTGGGTTGGGGGCTGAGAACGTCTCCAATTCTGGAGTATCCCAGCCTTGGACTCTCCCACACACAACTCTACTAATGCCCCTCAATCCTGACTGCAGCTCCCTGCTATCCCAGTCCTTGGCTGCCCTCCCCGCAGCTCTGCCACAAAACACAGAGAACTGCACATAGGACCAGGAACGGCAGACTGGCCATGTGTCTCACAGCAACCCCTGCTCTGGCTTCCCATCCATGTCAAGATTCAATTCAGATTCATCCCCCACCCGCCTCCCCAAGTACAGGACCACCATGGATTTGTAGTACCGGAGAGGGGAGCCCAGCGCTGGAATAGCAGGGGGGCTGAGAGTCAGGATTGAGGGGCCCCAGTAGAGCTGTGTGTGTGTGAGGGGAGCCAGAGCACCAGGGCGGGGGGGGGGGGGGAAGAGAGGGGAAGGGCGGTATGGAGGAGCAGCAGATCTAGTCTCTTTACTCTCTTCAGCTAGCATCCACCTCCTCCCTGCCCTTTCCCACGATCGCCCCCCCCTGTGGACACAAGCACCTTCCCCTCTACAGTTCCCATCATCTGGGAGAGCCTCCCCCGGGCCCCCCTCTCCATCTCACTGCCTCCATTTATTAGCCAACCTCGGCTGAAAGCGTCTCCCTTTAAAATAACAGATGGAGGAACAAGAACTCACTCAAGCCTTTTGAGATAATAATTTAAGCGAATTGTCCTTGCCGCGGTCGTGATATGCTAAGTGTGTTTAGCGTCTAGCTGCCAAAGTGCTCAGAGAGCACAAGGAACATCCCAGTCGAGAGCGACTGAACACCGTAAAAGAGCCTGTGTGGTTAAGGCTGGGACTCTGGAGACCGGGGTTCAATTCTCAGTTCTGCCACTGACTCTCGGAGCTTGGGCAAGGCCCTGCATCTTGCCAAGCCCGTTTCCCCCACAAGCCTCCCGAGCGCTCACGCTCTGTGTATGTGCAGAACCCAGCACAATGGGCCCTCCAGGCACTACCCTATTAGAAATAAACAAACTGGTGTTTATATAGGGCCCGTCATCCTAAAGGACGGAGCTGGTTCAGCAACTACATCAGGCTCCTCAGCGAGAGAATCCAAAGGATTGTAACTGATACACAAAACATTTCACCCAGTGCTGAAGTGCAGCCACCTCTGGGGTGTGGCATGGCAGCTGTTTAACAGCGCACAACATAACAAACAATAATTGCTAGTAGTAGTAATTTCTATTATCATAGTACCTCAGTCATGGATCAGGACCCCAGCGTGCTAGGGGCTGTACAAACACAGAACAAAAATACATGAAGTGGAAAAGAATCCTATAATTGGTTGAAACTGTGGAGAGGTTGGATTTTCAGGGAGGCACAAAAGAATCACCTGAATTACGAACAGTCTAGACCTGCCACTTCTTTAAAATTAAATTCAACCAACTTGTTTTTCCTTCACAGGTTAACTTTATGCTGTCTGATCTGTCCACCTCCTTTTGTAAGACACCTTAGGTAGCTGCTTCGGTACGTCTACACTTCAATCGCAGGGTGCGATTGCAGCTCATGTAGACTTACTTGAGCTTGCTTTAGTTTAGCTACGCTCAGGTACCAGAGCTGTGAAGCAGTACCAGCACTGACTACACAAGCCCATCTGGAACCCTGGGTAGTTACTTGTGCAGCTATATCACTCCGGGACCTGAACTAGTTAGATCAAGGCTCGCTCAGGTCTGTCCACTCCACACCCTATGACTGCAGTGTAGGCAAACCCTTACTAATGTGCTGGGGACACTGACATAAGCAGTAGTGTTAACACTGAAGAAATGTGTTGATGTAAATGAAAATAGGTCCCCCCGACCAAAACACACCATGTCAGGGCACAGCAACTTCATTTTCAGTTGCACTGAGCACCTTCGGGCCCTGTTAAAGGCTTGGGGCCCCAGAGCCAGATAGAGGGGAGATGAGGGGCAGGGATTGAGCATAGGATAGGACCCAAGAGCAAAGACAATATCTAGCTGCCGGCTAACTAGCAGCGTACAGGAAAGTGCTGTCACTCGCTCGCTGAAGATGGGTTGCGTTCAAGTTTGCAGTCCAGAACAAACAAACAAACAAAAACACGTGTTGGCTTTTTTCTGGTATTGGGAAGAGATAGGACACTGGGGTATACACATAGAATATCAGGGTTGAAAGGGACCTCAGGAGGTCATCTAGTCCAACCCACTGCTCAAAGCAGGACCAATCCCCAACTATTTTTTTTTTTGGCTCCAGATCCCTAAATGGCTCCCTCAAGGATTGAACTCACAACCCTGCATTTAGCAGGCCAATGCTCAAACCACTGAGCTATCCCTCCCTCCTAACAGCTGTAAACACCCATCAGCCCCCAGCCTGCCTGCCAATGATCGTTGTCTCTAAACAGAGAACACCAAAAGGATGTTTATAAGCGGGACTGGTACCAGAGTTCTGGAGCCTACAGCCATCCCTTGTTACAAATACTCCAGCAGGGTCAAATTCAATCCAGCCCCATGTCACTGAGGGGCTGGCTCAGAGAATGGGATTACAGGGATTTTTACTTCGAAGAGACCCCCAGGTCGAAGAGGATTGGCAGGCTCAGGGAATGGGGCCTTCTGGACTTGGGTAAGTCCCTTCCCTGCTCTATGCCTCAGTTTTCCCAACTGTAAAATAGGGAATAACGATACAGCCTTCCTTTGTAAAAGTGCTGAGATCTCCTGATAAGCGCTAAAATCACCGTTATTTGCAGTGTTGCTGTAGCCATGTTGCTCCCAAAATATGAAAGAAGAGCTCTGTGGAGCTCAAAACCTTGGCGCTCTCACTAACAGAAACTGATCCAAAAAAAGTTATTACCTCGCCCACCTTGTCTCGCTCATAGCAGTTGGGCATTCTTATTACAGGAGGCTCAGGGGCATTGGGGAATGGGATATGGGGCCTTTCCCCTCTAGGAGGAGCTGGTTCCAGTCACACCGCAGGTCAGGGACACTGGCTGGCTCAGAGAGGGCAGGGAATGGGATACCTGGCTTTTCCCTTCTAGGGCACCAGTTGCACTGAAAATGACTCTCAGCTGGTCTGTGCATAAACCAAGTATGTGCGTTCTCAGCTGCGTTCCTAGCAGGACTCTGCAGGTCAGATGAGAATGATTTTCAGTGTAACAAGGAGGCTAAGAACTGAAAGAGTTGCATTTAACTTCCCTCTCAGCACTAGAAGGCCCAGACACACCGGTGGCAGGGAGAAGGTGGGAGTGGGCGGGAGTCGCTTGCTCTTCTGCCAGCTCAGGAGTACAGATGCCCCTCAGCCCAGCACATCTGATGAAAAAACCATCGCCTCTTGGGAGCAATACTCGGGTTTAACTCCCGCCTTGCTGGAAAGGGGCAGATACTGCAGAGGATTCCACCCCAATGTGGTCATCAAAGCATTGGTCCCAAAGTGCTGCTGGACCCTCTGGGGAGGCAAAGCCCAGAGAGAGTGCTGCTCCAAGTCACCCAGTTATGCATCAAGCAACCTATGAAGAAGGGATGGGGGAGGTGGTCACCATTAGAAGGCAAGGGACCAGTATCAGGGCTCAGGGTGCCGCTGATGGGACAGTCGGCGGCTCATCGGCGATCAAGAATGTAGGAACTGGACCTCCCTGCCATGCTGGATAAGCCCCATCTAGCCTGGTATGCCCCACCCCATCCTACCCCCACCAGATCAGACCACTGGGCCTGTGGACTCCAGTAATCCATCTACTCCATTCCCAGTTCTGCAACTGGCCTCCTGAGTGCAAATCACCTCACTGCTCTGTGCCTCAGTTTCCCCATCAGTAAAATGGACATAACGATCCTGACCTCCTTTGTAAAGCGTTTTGAGATCTCCTGATGAAAAGCGCTAGGTAAGAGGCAGGTGTTATTGTTATTATCTAATCCAGTATCCACACCCTACCACGCCAGATCAGACCACTGGTCCCAATCTAATCCAGCATCCAACCCCTCTATCACCTCAATGGGACCATCTCAAAGGGAACAGAAGCATCTGTTCCACTGTCACATGCCAGCCAGCACCAGATGCTCCAAAGGCATCACACACAGTGTGATCCCATGGCAGGAAGGATGTTGGTTGGTAACCCACAGCTATTGATCATCTTACACCTCGAACCATCACCGTTGTAGCCCTATCCCAGAGGCACTATATGTATTCACAGAAGAGTCCCAGCCTTTTAGTTTACCAAGCTATTGGCCTCATACTGAACTACACCTCTACCTGATATAACGCGACCCGATATAACATGAATTCGGATATAATGCGGTAAAGCAGTGCTCCGAGGGGGTGGGGCTGCGCACTCCAGTGGATCAAAGCAAGTTCGATATAATGCGGTTTCACCTATAACACGGTAAGATTTTTTGGCTCCCGAGGACAGCGTTATAACAAGGTAGAGGTGTACCTCAAAATCCTGTGCCAATGAGTTCCACCGATTAACCATCCAATGCGATTTCTTTACCCTCCAACATGCATTCTTTTTCCAGTCACTTCCTCTGCAGGATGGACTCAAGGCAGAAGGAAACCGTCTTTCAGTGGGCAACAGAAACAAGAGGACAATGGAAAGAACAGCAGGAAAGCCTAGCTTCTCTCCCAATTTTGAAAGGCACATCATAAATAAATCTCACCTGATTGGTGTCGGCTCAGTGTTTCTGGTGGACTCCTGGCCTCTGGTTCTCTCCTGGGGGAGGGGGGTATCTGGGCTCCCCCCTCCCCCTTTCAGGACCTCACTTGAGGACTCAATGCAGGAGGAACAGCAGGAAAGGGCCTCTCCACCTCCTGAATGGGCCACACAGCTCCCCCTATCCTGGTTCAAAGCTAATAAACACACCCCAAGCTTCCCCCACTGAAAGGAGCGGACGAGTTCTGTACTGGTCTCTCCAAGCCTTGAAATAACTCCCCGTCTCTCCTCAAGTGTCTTTCAAGACTCCCAGAGAATCAAGCCATTACAGCCCCTCGGGTCTCTGGGGAGGAGGGCGGCAGCGTATACAAGAGTCTGGTTTTCACCGCTCCCGATCAGCGCTGCTGCAGCTTGCCCACAGGTCACGTCGCCTCATCGCTGTTACCGTCCGGCAGCTCTCTGCTCATCCGTGTCTCCTGGTGAGCTCTCACTCCCCAGGCACAAGTTGGCGCACCACCAGTTTCAGGGACAAACCAAAGCCCTGGTGTCCCATCTCCTAAAGTCCCGCCAGATCCCAGCCAGCTAGTCTCGTATCCGGGAGGTGGGTACGGAGTGCCATCCTCGTCTCCTTTCAATTCCTTCTTGGCTCTGTGTAACAGACACACAAGTGTATTAGACCCTGGCTTCCACCCCCGCTCTTTAGTATTAATGCCAACAGGATCAGCCTCCATACTGCCTTTATTCCCCTACTACTCAGGACGGGTAACAGAGGATGAGTATCACTGAGACCTGCTTCCCTGGCTCTGCCCCCTCACACAAAAACCTGCTTCTCAGGACAAGGTTAAGTTTCCTGCTCTGTAGTCCCAATGTTAACAGCATCTATCACACAGCCAGGGCCCTTCAATCCTATTACAGTCACATCAACCTCCTCCTCTCCTGGAATATATCCACCTATTATCCCGCCCACACTCTGCTCCTATGGATAGCTCCATTTCCTCTCTTGTGGTATATCCACCCAATAATGCCTCCCCAACTATGCTCCAATCATATATCCTCCCAAAATCTTCACTTCCTCTCTTGTGAGACGTTTGCCCAATATCCCCCCTCTCCAAAGGTGTCCCTCCCCCACTGCTCCCATGGTATGTTGTCTCCACCTACCCTCCTGTACTATATCTGACCAATGTCCCCTCTCTACTCACATCCACCCAATATGCCGCTTCCCCACTGCTCCTGTGGGATTTCCATGTGGTCTCACCTCCTGTACATGCCCCACGGTACATTCACTCTGCCCTGTCCACCCTGCAGAATCTTTTCCCTCACGCTGCTCCCAAAGGATGTTCACCCCAACAACCCCTCCAATCCCATGGGACATCACCCTAATACAGAGCTCCAGCCCGACGGCACCTTCACCCCATTGGAAACCTCTCTCTTCCCCCCACATAATAGTATATTTATTCATCCTTGAGTTACCCAGTCCATCTCTGCCCACCCGCCCTGGAGATATGGGGTGGGGGGAGTGCCTCCCCCCACCTGGAGATATGGGGTGGGGAGGAGCTGTCCCCCCACCTGGAGATATGGGGGACAGCTCCTCCCCCCTCCTGAGGCTATGGGGGGCAGCTCCTTACTCCTCCCGCCTGGAGATATGGGGGGCAGCTCCTCCCCCCTCCTGAGGCTATGGGGGGCAGCTCCTTACTCCTCCCGCCTGGAGATATGGGGGGCAGCTCCTCCCACCCCCCCGCCTGGCGACATGGGGACAGCTCCTTCCCGCTCCGCCTGGAAACACGCGGGGACGCGAGGCTGCTCCTGCCTCCCACCCCCCGCCCGTTCCCCACTGACCCAGAGCCGCCTCAGCAACAGCAGCATCACCACCAGGTTCCAGCCACTTCCGCCTGCCAGCGCCGGAAGCGAACCCATAGCAACCGCTCGACCCGCCCAGCGTCGCCCCAGCCTAGCCCCGCCCCACGTTTTAGGCTGACCACGCCCCCTTCCTTCCTTCCCCCTCGCCCGGCGGGGAGTCAAGCCCCCTTCCGAATTTTCCTCGGGCCACGCCCCCAGTAAGACCCCCCCCATTTACTGGACATGCCCACATGCGAAACCCCGCCCCCTCCGCCCACCCCAACGGCTCGACCGTGGCGGCGCAGCCGGATCTGGGTTTCCTGCGGAGCAAACCATTCGGATCGGAAGCGGGGGGGAACGAGAACCCTCCTTCCATTGTGGTTAAAATTACCTCCAGGCTGAGGCTCCATCTCATAACGCTCCCCTTTCTCTCTATGGGATTCACCCCCCAAACACCTTTCTCAGACGGATTTGATGTAACTATCAATGTCTCCCCCAGTAGACAGAATGGACGCGCCCAATTCCCCACCTGGGGAGGGGTTTGGAACAATCCAATCCCACAGGGGGGGGGGGGCTGAATAGTCCTGCAGGGAGGAAGAGGAGGATTCCATCTCCCCTCTTGCAGTGCTGTTACACCTCTTCCCCCGCTGTGCCTATCACGTTGGTGTGGCCGGGAGGGCGAAGCGCTGAGAGTTGGTATCTTTCCTCCAGATTCCCCTCTACTGGGGGCTGTGGTACGGCCCGAGGGAGGAGGGGTGAAGAGAACCTTTTCTGTTGGGCTGTGGGATCGGGAGGGAGAAACCAAACTAGGCCCCAGCGGGGGTGTAGGGTGAGGCTCACTGCGAACCTAAGGGACTGAATAATGGTTCCTCCCCATTTCTCCTTCCCAGTTCCCATGGCCCCTCCTCCTGCTTCCAACCTCTTGGCCCGCCCCCTGTTTCATGGCCCTCTCACCCTCTACCCCTCCTTGGCCACGCCCTCCTGTCTTCTCTCCCTATTCCCTGGCCCCGCCCCTTGCTTCCTGCCCCTCCCCTTTGGGTCAACCCCTTGCTTCCAGTCTCCTTAGCCCACCCCCCATTGTTCCCAGACCCCTGGATCTCCCACAGATGTTCCTGTCCGTACTGGAGAAAAATTAAACACCTGGCCTATATCCCTGCCTGCACCCATGTGCACACATGTCCACACATGTGCGGAGGTACAGACGTTCACAGCGTTAGCAAGATCCAACTTACGCAAATTTGCACATACGGAAAAAGTTCCATAAGCCGAAATAGGATTTTTGAGTTCTGGAAATTTTTGCGTAACGTATGGGTATACGTTTCCAACTTACGCAAAATTCGGGTTACGCAAGGCTTTCCGGAACGGAACGATTGCGTAAGTTGGGGGGCATCTGTATGTGGCATTAGTTGGGAGCCAAATGAACCCTCCCTATTATACATTGGACTTGGAAGGATTAAGTTTTGATCAGTAAACGTCGATTTCACCGTGCACACACGCAGCCCCAAAAAAACATTTCCACATCAGTAGTAATCAACATTAACAGACAGGCAACCCAAGAAAAAGCCTGCTTGAGAATTTATTCCAGTTTGATATACGGATATTTCCATTGTATATTTAGACATGTGATGGGGACAATATGTTTTAACGCTGATAAAGCTTTAACGTTTTTGAATCTCAACGCCTATTAACTCATTAAATAATTATTGTCTAATCCCCTTGTTGCTTATCCTGATTAATTCCCACAACTGCAACGATGTAAATCGATAACATTAAAAAATGCCTAAAATAAACATTGAAATTATAAAAACATAAAACTGGAATTCTGCCACGCCTGGTGATACACCTGTTAAACTGCAGCGATATTGACAATCTCTCCAGCTGCCCCCTTGTGGATCCGCTAGCGCCTCGTGTCGCTGTCTCGCTCAGTCTGCCTGCCCACGTATGTTTTATTTTTATTTTATGGTCATCATTGATTTATTGCAGTCATTATTTTATTATCATTCATTGCTTTATAATTAATTACATAGAAACAAAATCATTTTTTTTGCCTAGTGCCAGGGATAGACCCTGACTCCCAGTCTCCTCTCTGCGCTGACCCACTAGACCCATTCCCTTCCCAAAGCTGAGAACAGAAGCCAGGAGTCCAGACTCCCACTGGCTTCAAATTCCCTTCTTCTACCTTCCCTTCATCAGCAGACCCTCTCTAACCACTGGACTTTGCTGCCTCCCTGCTACATCTTGAATGGAGCCGATGAGAATGATGTACAGCCCCTTTCAACCCAAATAATCCTCAAGTCTTTTAAGAAATAGTACAAGGTTACACATCAGGCAAACATCCTTTGCGAAGCTCTTTCTTGGGCAGGGACTTTATTTTCTCCGGAGCTGCTGTTTAAAGAAGATTATTCAGGCAAATATTAAAAGATATCACAACAAGAAAGAGTCACAAATTCCCATGCTCTAAGATCCTGCTCCACAAGATTCACAGATTAGTGGCCATCCCTGGCACAGAGCTGGTCTCTGTAGACTCTTCCTACATCGATGGAAGGGTTTTTTCCATTGATGTCATTAATTCACTTCTCTGAGAGGAGGTAACTAGATTGACAGAAGAATTCTTCCTTCGGCCTAGACGTGTCTACACCAGGGGTTAGGTTGAACTAACTACAGTGCTCAGGGCAAAAACATTTTCACATCCCTGAGCAATGTACCTAGGTCAATCTAATTTTTAGTACATAAGAACATAACAATGCCCACACTGGGTCAGACCAATGGTCCACCTAGCCCAGTATCTTGTCTTTTATCAGTGGCCAATGTCAGGTGGTTCAGAGGGAATGAACAGAACAGGGCAATCATCAAGTGATCCATTCCCTGTTGTCCATTCACAACTTCTGGCAATAAAAGGCTAGGGACATTCAAAGCATGGTTGGGGTTGCATCCCTGGCCATCTTGGCTAATAGCGATTGACGGACCTATCCTCCATGATAGACCAGGACTTAATCTCATCGCTTCCCTGGTCTCTGTCTTGCTGGAAAGGACACAGCTCTTTAATATCTATGCCCACTTTCCCAAGACGCATTGCTGGCCACGCTACAACTCCACAGTCCCTTTGGGCTTTTTGCTTTAGCAGGAGAGATGGGAGGGGAGGTTGGAACCAGAATATGAAGATTTCATGGCAATTGGGAGTGGGCGGAAGCTGAAGATGGACAGCTCAGAGATGGCGTTCATGTGGGCAACTGTGATGGATAGCCTCTGTCAGGTCAGTTACCAGCTGGAGAGGTGAAGGTTTCTAGCCTTGATGTATGTTAAGAATTGCGCAAGTCACTCAAATCAGCAAACACACTGGTTTTGATTTACACAAGAGAAAAGAATTTGATTCTCCTACAGGAGGGGAAATTTGTTCATTGAGATGTTTAACCTCCTTCCCCCAGTCATTCACCCCATGAGGTAATGATTTGGCCTAATCACTTCTTCCCCAAACCAGGAGAATTTCTTGCAGCATAAAATGGAGGGGGGAACCCCCAAATCTGCAGCCATTTCATATGAACCTTCAACAGATGAGAGAAAAGGGATAACATTTGAGAGGGTGCGAGATCTCTGTTTGAGACTGAGTGAGTAAAGGGGTCAAATCTAAGAAGAAAGTAGATCAGAGGGGGGTTAACATCCTCCTTTTCTTCATCCACCATGTGGGTCAAGAACTCAAGCCAGCTGGTTCCCTCCAAAAGCAGATGTGGCTTCAACTTAAAATGGGAGGCGGGAAAAAGACCCTAAAGTGGGAGAGTTTCTTTCCCTGTATTCAGCAATTAAAGAAAAAAATGGCCAAATCTGGGGGGATTTTAGATCAATATTCTATAATTTAGTGGGAAAGGTGCGCAACTTGAGGAGTCCATAAATTGAGAGAAATTTCTATCAATAGTCAATAAAGAGAAAATCTGAGGGGATTTTAGATCACTATTTGGTAATTGAGAGAAAAGAGGAAAAATCTCAAGGGAAAGTTGATTCAAATGAGTTTAATACCTTCATTAACCCCATCCACAATTTGGAGCAATGACTGGAACCAGCAGTTTCCCTACAAATGCCAAAGTAGCTGCAGTTTAACTTGAGAAGGGGGAAGAAGCCCCCAGACTATCCATACCAGAGAATTAAATAGAAAAGGGGCAACATTGGAGGGTTTTTTTTAGATCAATATTGAATTGAATCTGAGGTATATTATATAGAGGGGGGTAGGGATATGGTCTGTGCTGGCTGGATCTGGTGCAGAGAGATGAATCTCAAATGCCCACATCACTTCATCTCCTCCATTCAGAGCCAGGTGCCCAACACTGTCCACCAGGCCTTGAAATGCTCTTCTGCCTTCTGGGGCTCCTGGTGAGTGACCTCTGGTTTCCCAGTCCCAGCGCCATGTATGGACATGAACAGACAGATTAAAATGCAGACCTCCTAGATGGGAAAGGCTCCATCGTCCATTGCCTGGCCCCCTGAGCCAGCCAGTCCCCCTTGCCTGAGGCTGGATCAGAACTGCTGCCCCATAGAGAACCAAGCCAACCAGTCACAATTCATTTCTCTGGCTCATGTCCTCTTACTCCCGAATAGCCTCCCCAGCACCCTCCTTAGGGCCCCGTGCACATCCTTGTTCCTCAGGGTGTAGATCAGTGAGTTCAGCATGGGGGCGATGATGCCATAGAAGAGGGAGACCATCTTGCCCCGGTCCTGGGAGTAGCTGGATGGAGGTTGTAGATACATGAAAATGGCCGTGCCGTAGAAGAGCGACACCACGGCCAGGTGGGAG